AGCTGGAGTGGAGTGCAGTGGTGCATTCTTGGCTCTCTGCAACATCTGCCTCCCGGGTCCCAGTTCAAGCAATTCTCCTGCCTCAGCCTCCCGCGTAGTTGAGATTACAGGCACGCGCCACCACACCCAGCTAATTTTTGTATTTTTAGTAGAGATGGGGTTTTACCATGTTGGTCAGGCTGGTCTTGAACTCCTGACCTCATGATCTTCCTGCCTCGGCCTCCCAACGTTCTGGGGTTACAGGCGTAAGCCACCACACCTGGCGTTTTTCTTAGCTTTCTAAGACCTGACTGAATTTTTTAAAGGTTGTTTAAACAATAACACACACTACTTAAATTTGTGATAGTGACAAAAATCTTTCTCCTTTTTGTATTTAGAAATATTTTTACAGAAAAATGTGTGCATATTGTAAAATTTATTGAGGTGTGAAAAACAACGTTCATTATATTGCTCTGTAAGAATGATAGATTTTGTATATTCTTAGGTCTGGAGAAAATGATGTGGAATATAACAACATGGAGTTAGAAGAGGGGGAACTCATGGAAGATGCAGCTGCTGCAGGACCCCCAGGTAATGAGGTCACCCACTGCCTCCAAGACATTCTGTTTTCTCTCTGCTCTTCTCCGACTTTATCATATTTTAAATAGGTGGTAGCCACGCTTTTACATGGTTCGTAGGTGCTATATCGATGTTGAAAGTGCTATATCTTACAATATGGATTTTTTAGAGTTTATTACTAAAGATATTTAAAACAATAATAATAGCTAACATTTGCAAAATGTTCGTATATATACCAGGCACTGTGTGAAGCACTTTATGTACCTTAGCTTGTGTTAATAAAATTCTGCTTGATATATTCACTTATGCATAGAGAAGCAACTTGCCAACTTTTAACAATTTAGTAAATGGGAGTAGTTCAATCCCTAGATTTGTCTGTGTCCCATACTCATATTTTATACTATTATTTCTGATATAAAGTCTTATTTGTATATCTTGCTGGACTGTAGAATGATCTCAATAGAATCATTGACTCTTAGAAAGGATCTTAAACAGCTCATTTTATACATGAAACTGGTCAGTTTTTAGTTGTGTGGTTATATAGCTGGTTGTTAATACAACCAGACTAGAACCCCACATTGTCCTGGGTTTGTGGACCCAGTATTTTTCTCCCAAACTACACTGCTTCTCCTGGGAAGAACTGACTTATATAATGAGTATTTCTTTTTTGTTCTTGGATCTGTTTAATTAAATAGTGAATCTGGGTAGAACAATTAAAAGTTAGCTTTCTACTGTTTGTGCTTTACCCATGTTCTCAGTATGAACGCTGGCATATTCTTTTTCTTTTTTGACATATTCTTTGGCATAATCTCGGCTCACTGCAATCCCTGCCTTCTGGGTTCAAGCGATTCTCCTGCCTCAGCCTCCCAAGTAGCTGGGATTACAGGCATGTACCACCACTCCTGGCTAATTCTGTATTTTTAGTAGAGACGGGGTTTTTCCACATTGGTCAGGCTGGTCTCGAACTCCTGACCTCAGGTGATCCTCCTGCCTTGGCCTCCCAGAGTGCTGGGATTACAGGCATGAGCCACCGTGCCCAACCAACATATTCTTAATAATGTTTGGATAACTAAAGACTTCTTAAGTACTAGTCCTCAACATTTCAACTTCCAACCGAAACCCTATATTTCTACTCTTGACTGTAATCCTGGGTGATTGTATCCACATCTGTATTTCAGTTACTATCTATCTATATGCTGATTACTCTTCAAGTTCTCTCTCTAGCCTTTATCTTTCCAATAATTTCCAAACCCATGTAGCAGTCTTGGTATGACTCAGCACTTCTCAAACGCAAATTACTGTCTTTTCATCTGCCAGCCTGCCTATCAGCAGTAGCCACCCTGACTGATAGGCTATACATTCTTTACTTCTTCTTCTCCCTAAAACTTTACTTTTAGTGTATTACCAAGATTTGTTGATTCTGTTTCCTAAATCATGCATAAATTAATTTGGTACTACCGCTCCTTTGCCATTTCTAGTCCAGGCCTCTGTCTTTCACAACCAGTCTTTCATCTGGGTTCCTTGTGTTCATTATTGTTTCCCTCCATTGTATTTTTACTGCATGAATTCAGAATGAGGGTGTTTTTTCTTTCTGATTAATATCTAATATTACTTCTCTGCCAGGCATGGCGACTCACGCCTGTAATCTCAGCACTTTGGGAGGCTGAGGTGGTTGCATCACTTGAGTCCAGGAGTTTGAGACCAGCCTGGGCAACGTGGTGAAACCTTGTCTCTACAGAAAAATACAAAAAAATTAGTCAGATGTAGTGGCTGAATTGCCACCTGTGGTCCCAGCCATTTGGGAGGCTGAGGTAGGAGGATTACTTGAGCCCAGGAGGCAGAGCTTGCAGTAAGCTGAGATAGCACCACTGTACTCCAGCCTGGGCAACAGAGTGAGACCCTGTCTCAAAAAAAGAAATAAAAATAATGGAAAATAATATCTAATCATGTTCTGTACTTAACTCTTTAAGGATTATATTTATTATTGGCTAAAGTCCAGAGTTGTTAACATGACATGTAAATTCCTTTAGGTCCAGACTCCTGTTTGTTTCCTTAGCCTTACTTCTCTCATTCCTCTATGTCATTCTTTAGTCAGGAGGTACTTCAAAGAATCACAGGATCTCTACAAATTTGTAGAGAAGAGCTTTAACTCTTATAAAATGTTAGAGCCTGCAGGTTGGCCATCCTGATAGGCTGGGAAGTGTAGCCTCTGGCAAAGACTAAAAGCAGGCACTTTCCAGAAGGGAAAGGTAAGGTAAGAATTTATGCTGAATGAGTTGGCCAAGTATACATAATCAGTATATAGGAGGAGCTATGAATATCATGAAGAGGGGAACACAAGCATGCATAGTAGACAAACATGCATGTTACATGTTTCATGTTTACTTTGGGGTGGAGACTTAACATTACAATTTGGCCCTGTTGTCAAAAGATATGCGAAGGACAGAAAGGCATTCAATGCTCAGCGTTTGTATACATGGGCCAGAACCAGTCCATGGTTGGTGACTCTTATCAGGAGAAAGTTGCTGAAATCAGTCTCCTGTCCAGTCAAAGCTGTAGTTGTAGTTTGCGGAACAGGGAGTGAGTCAGTTAGCATCTGGCAGTCAGTAAACTGCAGTTATTTCAGTATTGCTTATCTTAAAGCCAGTGCTTGCTTAGCTTCTAGAGAAAAAGAAGAAACCCTGTTACAGTTAGAATGTAGTTTATTCTTTAAGTATAGGGAATGTGTGACTTAATCCTTGTCTGGCACAGTCTTAGGTCTTATTGACCGACTAACTTTTCAGCCTTGTGTGTTTTCTTTTAGTTGGGTATGTTCTTTCCTCTCTTAAACTGTGTGGTAGGGAAATTCTCGTATATAACATTTATATACACTTAAGGTAAAAAAGAGTTTACATTTTTGAATTATTCATCAAATATTTACTGAACACTTGAACTGTGTACGGTTACTATCTAGAGATGCAATATTTAATAACAAGATATCCCTGTTCTTATGGAGCCTATATTATAATTCTGAATATTCTGTAATAATTCAGGCACTTATATTCTAGATGTTGAAGATAAAATAATAAACCAGTTTATTTTTATTACATGCTTGTAGAAATTTATGTATTTGGCAAACATTTGTTAAATATTACACCTGCCTGGAAAATAGAATACCCTTAAGTAATTTATAACATAAAGGTGAGTAGATGAGCAATTAGCTAGAATATGACTGTATACATACAAAATAATTCCAAATGAAATACCCTCTCCTCAAGGAGATGAAATATAAGTTCTACGCCTTAAATGTAGGCTATGCTTAGTGACTTGCTTCTGAATAGTACAGTTTCAAAAGGGGGACACAACTTTGAAATAGAGAACTTGGTAAATATTACCTACCCACGTGATTAAATTTAGTATTGTAGGTGATAAGTGATGTTGATAGCATGTACCTTTGATATGTTAAGAATGGTAGTTATACCTGCAGTGTCTTCCCCCTAAAAACCCACAAACATAATCTAATAATGAGGGGAAAAAATCATACCCTTAATTGAGGAACATTTCACAAAATACTTGACATACTTTTCAGACATAAGGAAAGTCTGAGAGACTGTCATAGACCAGAAGAGTCTAAAAAGACATGAGCAACTAAATATATTTTGATACTCTAGATGAGACTCTGGAACAAAAATAGAACATTAGGGGAAAACTACTGAAATCACAATATAAGTATAGGATTTAGTTAATAATATGTCAGTATTGGTTCATTAGTTGTGACAAATATGCCATAGTAATGAAAGGAATTAACATTGGGGAAATTGGGTTTGGGTTGTACAAGAACTCTGTATTTTTACGTTTTCTGTAAACCTAAAACTATTCTAAAATAAAAAGCTTTTTTAACCAAGGCAATGAAAAAGCTAGATCGGGGTGACAGTGGGTAGGGTGTGGAAATGCTTTTTTGTTATATGCTAATTATGAAGGTCCATTTCAAGCCTTGAATGGTTTATTTTTATTTTTTGAGATGGAGTCTTGCTCTGTCACCCAGGCTGGAGTGCAATGGCGTGATCTTGGTTCATTGCAGCCTCCGCCTCCTGAATTCTCCTGCCCTTTACTCCCAGGTAGCTGAGACTATAGGCATATGCCACCATGCCCAGCTAATTTTTTTTGTATTTTTAGTAGAGATGGGGTTTCACATGCTGGCCAGGCTGTCTTGAACTCCCAACCTCAAGTGATTCTCCTGCCTCAGCCTCCCAAAGTGCTGGGATTACAGACATGAGCCACCACACCCGGCCTGGTTAGTGTTTTAGAACTACACAATTGTTTAAAGAGTTATGTCATCCAAAGAATTACAGTGTTAAGTCATGCGTTAAAAAGGAGAAAGTTGGGCTTATATAAAAGATATAAAGTTAAATGTTTACTTAATAACCTCATTTTCTAGACCATATTAAATAAAGAGATAGCCTGAAACAAATATTTATTGACCCAAGTGGCTGTAGTCCTGGCCACTTAGGAGGCTGTGGCAGGAGGATCACCTGAGCCTAGGAGTTCAAGGGTGCAGTAGCCATGATTGTGCCATTGTACTCCAGCCTGGGTGACAGAGCAAGACCCTGTCTCTTACACACACAGCAAATATATACTACTGTAGATTTTTCCTACTCACTGGATTCAGTGAGCTAGAAACATAGATTAGAATGATACTTAAACATTTTTAGCACAATTTTTTAAAATTTTTTAATTTTTTTTTTTTTTAATAGAGATGGGCTTTCTATGTTGGTCAGGCTGGTCTTGAACTCCTGACCTCAGGCGATCCACCCACCTTGGCCTCCCAAAGTGCTGGGATTACAGGCGTGAGCCATTGCACCCGGCCACAATTTTTTCTTTTTTTTATAGATGGAGTCTTGCTCTGTCACCCAGGCTGGAGTGCAGTGGCTCGATCTTGGCTCACGGCAACCTCCGCCTCCCAGGTTCAAGTGATTCTGCTGCCTCAGACTCCTGAGTAACTAGGACTAGAGGTGCACACCACCACGCCCAGCGAATTTTTGTATTTTTATTAAAGAGGGAGTTTCACCATATTGGCCAGGCTGGTCATGAACTCCTGACTTTGTGATCCACCTGCCTCAGCCTCCCAAAGTGCTGTGATTATAGGCGTGAGCCACTGCACCCAGCTCAGCACAGATTTTTGTAACAAATTATCTTTCACTTAAATTCAAATAACTGAATAAACTAAAAACAATTCTCATAAGAAGACGTCTGCAGAAACCACCACACCCAGCTGATTATTTTTTCTAGAGACAGAGTCTTGCTCTCTTACCTTGGCTGGTTTCCAATTCCTGGCCTCAATCTTCCTGCCTCAGCCTCCCAAATTATTGGGATTGCAGGCATGAGCTATTTGTACCTGGCCCACAGATATCAGAAGAATAAATGAGCTTTTTTTTTTTTTAAGACGGAGTTCTGCTCTTGTTGCCCATGCTGGAGTGTAGTGGCACTATCTTGGCTCACTGCAACCTCCGCCTCCTGGGTTCAAGTGATTCTCCTGCCTCAGCCTCCCGAGTAGCTGGGATTACAGGTGCCCGCCACCATGCCCAGCTAATTTTTGTATTTTTGATAGAGACAGGGTTTTACCATATTGGCCAGGCTGGTCTCGATCTCCTGACCTCAGGTGATCTGCCCACTTCAGCCTCCCAAAGTGCTGGGAATACAGATGTGACCCACCACACCCAGCCAAATGAGCATAATTTTTTTTTTTTTTTTTTTTTTTTTTTATGGGGTTTTTTTTTTTTTTTTTTTTTTTTTTTTTGAGACGGAGTTTCGCTCTTGTTACCCAGGCTGGAGTGCAATGGCGCGATCTCGGCTCACTGCAACCTCCGCCTCCTGGGTTCAGGCAATTCTCCTGCCTCAGCCTCCTGAGTCGCTGGGATTACAGGCACGCACCACCATGCCCAGCTAATTTTTTGTAGTTTTAGTAGAGACGGGGTTTCACCATGTTGACCAGGACGGTCTCGATCTCTTGACCTCGTGATCCACCCGCCTCGGCCTCCCAAAGTGCTGGGATTACAGGCTTGAGCCACCGCGCCCGGCTTGAGCATAATTTTTAAATGAAAATCCAACAAAGTAAAGGATGTAAAAATGTTGAATATTCTAGAAAGGTAGTTTAGGACTAGACTGTAATAGGGCCTTGAGTGTCAAATGATAATGCTATAATGAATATGCTATAATGAACTGTATGAATAATACAAATGAAAATGCTGTAATGAATATGCTATAATGAACTGCTGTAATGAATGTATATCAGTGTGACATTTTAGCAGGATTCATATGAGTTGGCACAAATGGAGAACTATTCACTGATTCGTTTGTCTTTTAGTGAGGTGTTTTTTCCTCCTATGTGAACCTCAGAAGCATAGCTTTATTCTTAATAGCTAAAGCTAGAAGCAACCTAAGTTTTTTTTAATAGAGAAATAAATTGGATATAGTCATAAATTGAAATGCTGCACAATAATAATAAAAATGAGGCTGTGACTCATGCCTGTAATCCCAGCACTTTGGGAGGCTGAGGCACATGTATCACTTGAGGCCAGGAATTCAAGACCAGCCTGGCCAACATGGTGAAACCTCATTTCTACTGAAAATACAAAAAAAATTAGCTGGGTGTAGTGGCACACGCCTGTAATCCCAGTTACTCTGGAGGCTGAGGCATGAGAATAATTTGAACCTGGGAGGTGGAGGTTGTGGTGAGCTAAGATTGTGCCACGGCACTCCAGACTGGGTGACAAAGCAAGACTCAGTTTCAAAGAAAAAAAGCCAATTAGGAAAAAAAAAGACATAACAATTTTCAAAAGAATATTTTTAAAAAATTTTAAAAAGAAAATGAGTAAGATACTGCTATATACAGCCATATAGATGAATCTCATGAATAATGTTGAGCAAAGAAGAAGAGCCTAAGAGCATATTCTGTCACTATTTTTATGCAAATACAAAACAGGCAAAACCCATCTGTTATTTAAGTTAGGATGAAGATTACTTCGTTGAGTAGGAGGAGTGAGTAATTTAAGGAGACATAGGAGGGGGTTCTGGGATGCCGGTAATCTATTTCTTCATCTGTGTGTGATTATTCTGTGAGCATTCATTGGGCTGTACAGAATAGCTTGGAAAGAGAGGAACTGAAATAGATGCCAAAGTCTTTGATGCCTGTGGGGAAATGTGGTGGGAACATTTGGAAGGTGAGTATTGAAAGGTCATATCCACCGGATAAAAAAAGGAGTTTTTGTTCAGTGGTGAGAGTAATGGCCTGAAAGGGCAGTGCGAAACAGGAGACACTGCTTTCTATACTGTAAGTAAGTGCATTTAACGTGGAAAAATGAGCAACTTCCATTTTTAAAGGACAACCAGATATTAGGGCAATAGACTCCATTTACTGGGCTACTGGGCTTACTAAACATTAGAACACTCTGAGTAGCTTTTGGGGAAAAAGTCCTGGATCTCACCGCAGAGTGACAGAGTCTTGCTTTGTCACCCAGGCTGCAGTGCAGTGGCGTGATCTCGGCTCACTGCAACTTCTGCCTCCCAGGTTCAAACAATTCTCCTGCCTCAGCCTCCAGAGTAGATGGGAGTACAGATGCCTACCACCATGCCCAGCTAATCTTTGTAGTTGTAGTAGAGACAGCGTTTCATTATGTTGGCTAGGCTAGTTTCGAACTCCTGACCTTAGGTGATCCTTAGGCCTCGGCCTCCCAAAGTGCTAGGATAACAGGTGTGAGCCATCATGCCCAGCCTCTCACTCCAATATTCTTAATTCAGCATCTCTAGGAAGGAGCTAGGAATCTGTGATTTTAAAAACTTATTCAGCTGACATACAGCCTGAGTTGGGAATTCCGTAGCAAAAGAAAGGAGATAAAAACAGTTTTCAGCCAAGCACAGTAGCTCATGCCTATAATCCCAGCACTTTGGGAGGCCAGGGCGGGAAGATCACCTGAGGTCAGGAGTTCAAGACTAGCCTGGCCAACATGGCAAAACCCCATCTCTACTGAAAATACAAAAATTAGCCGGGCATGGTAGTGCATGCCTGTAGTCCCAGCTATGGAAGGCTGAGGCAGGAGAATTGCTTGAATCTGGGAGGCGGAGGTTGCAGTGAGCCAAGATTGGGCTACTGCACTTCATTCAGCCTGGGCAACAGAGCGATACTGTGTCAAAACAAAAAGCAGTTTTCAATGCGAAGGGGAAATCTTTGTCTCTGTTTGAGAGGAATTGCAGTGTTTACAGAGGCTGGGAAGAAAAACTGTCAGTGAGATAATAATCTTAGAAGTGGAAGACAGTGAGAACATGAGAATGTGAAAAGCATAAATTATTAATTGGCTTAAAGCTTCTGAATAATGGTACTTTCCTCCTAAGTTATATCCTGCTTGATCTCTTGGAAATACTCATGGGTAGTCAGAACCTGACTTTTTAATATTATTTTTATATTATCTACTTTCCTGCATGTAGCATTTTTTTTTAATATTGTATCTCTTTAGAATATATTTAAACAGCTTTATTGAAGAAGGTCAATTTGAAGCAACATTTCCATATCTGGTATTTGCTATGTATTGTACTAAGTGCAAGAGAAAAGTCAGATGCTTTTCTTGGCTTAAGGCACATAGTCCAATATAGGTAGCATAGGCGTAACATTTGCTTCCCAATGTCTGTAATATGCATCAGCCATTAACATGACAGTCGGAAAACTTCTCATTGTACCCCATTATTTAATCAAAGTAGAAAAAGTCTACCAACCTGTCATGACCTATACATTTTGCTGTCCAGAGACTTGGAGGAGGTTCCTGTTTTGGTGTCTAATTCTTTGGAATCTGTTATACCATGGGAATTTGTCTTCTTTCATCTAAGACAGGTGGTCATGGGATATAATTTCCTCAGCCTCACCCCTCATCCCCTTAATTATGTACATCATACACATTGTCATCTTTTTTTTTTTTTCTAGTGCTCAGGATGGGGTTGATGTTTGCTTCTGAATTCTAAGTATTAATGAGGCCAACACACAATCACTGTGCTAGTTTACAACTCTCTGGCTGTCTGGTTCCTTCTTTCTGCTTCTTATGAACCTGAGCTCCTAAGAGATAGATCCATAGACAAGTATTCATAAAATATTAACCAGTTCATTTTTTCATTTAAGTATATACCTAAACTTGTGGAGATATATATATCATACATTTTCTACATCTCTTTTTCAGGTAGTAGCCATGGCTATGTGGGTGCCAGTAGTAGAATGTCAAGAAGAACACGTTTAGGCTCTGCTGCTACCAGTAGTTTACTAGACATTGATCCATTAATTTTAATACATTTGTTGGACCTTAAGGACCGGAGCAGTATGGAAAATTTGTGGGGCTTACAGCCTTGCCCACCTGCTTCACTTTTGCAGCCCACAGGTAAAATAACAATGACAATTTCCTTTTTTTCTCTGGTTCTCTAAAAGAACACTTGGGTTTTCATGTAAGTATTTCACCTATATGTGGAACATGGTGTATTTCTATGTTTTTCATTGTATGTCAGTAAAATGACATTTATATAAACCAAGTTAATTTTTAAATTACTGTTCCAAGGTAATTTGTGCAAAAACAAAGTAAAAATGCCTGCAAAAAGTTTTTTATGATTTGCTACTCAGATTGGGCCCGACAGTTTGATCCATATGAAATACAATTATCTTCTTTGTGAATGGACTTTTTTTGGTCAGGCTTCATGAATTTGCTTACTTCCAAGTGGAACTGTATCTAAATTGAACATAGAAAAAGGTGACTTCTCATTCTTGGATGTTCAGTAGCTTAAAAATGTATACCATTTGGCTGCTGTGTTTTCTGTGCAAAGGATATTTGTTAAATAGAAATTACATTTATGTTACTGTAATAAAACAGAGATTTGTATAGTCAAACACGGGCTTTTTTTAAACTCTCAGGAATAGGGTAATTTTGGACAGCTAAGGATTTGCCTTTAAAAGCTACATTTTAAAAACCATTTTTGTTGGAATGCTTTCTAAAGTATATTCAGTAAATTCAAATACATATACCAAATATTTTTCTGTAAATCAAATCAGTGATTTAGGACTGTGACTTTGATGCAGTTTTAAGACAATTCGTTTTGCAAACAAAGTCCAAGGCGGAACCTCTGTGTAAATAATGGAAATGGAGCTGCTCTACTGGCCTACAGATTTGGAGCCCAGATTATTTAGACTTCTTCATTCCTAAGAGCCAGATATACTTCCTGAAAGTCTGGATCCTCAGTTTAAAAGACTATCTTCAGGTTATGAAACAGTTGCCTTTTATGTGTGCGCCAAGTATGCTTTATATAAAGTTTTGCTTAAATGATAAGTGTTGTTTGCAAAGGCCCAGTGAAATGGACAGATTTTGATTCTTGGACTCACTGCAACCTCCATTTCCTGGGATATGTAAGTTGGTTTAACCTTTTTGAAGAACAATTTTGTAGCAGTTTAAAAATATCTGTATCCTTTAAACCTGTAATTTCACTTCAAGGAGTGTATTCCAAAGAGAAAACAATCAGATGTTTAAAAATATTAAACAGTACCTTTATGGCCAGATAAATTACAGTGTAACCATGCAGTGGTATATTTTATAGACATGTTTTTGAAAATATTCAGTGTCCTTAGGAGAAAATGCAAACTAAACAGAAAGATTTATATTTAAAACTAGTTTTCTATGTAAAAATAATATAAATAAGATGATCTGAATTTCAAATTTAGGTGATAAAATGCTGATGATAATGAGGGTGGGAAAAATGAAGGAAAAAGCAGGTTTTAGATTTAAACATTTTAACTTGGACATCAAATTAGTGTGACATCAAATTAGAAAGGACCGCTAGACAGCTAAAAATTAAGAACTGGGACTGGGCATGGTGGCTCAGGCCTGTAATCCCCGCACTTTGGGAGGGCAAGGTGGGTGGATCACCTGAGGTCAGGAGTTCAAGACCAGCTTGGCCAACATTGTGAAATCCCACCTGTACTAAAAATACAAAAAGTTAGCCAGGCGTTGTGGTGGGTTCCTGTAACCCCAGCTACTCAGCAGGGTGAGGCAGGAGCATTGCTTGAACCAGGGAGGCGGAGGTTGTAGTTAGCCGAGATTGCACCATTGCACTCCATCCTGGGCAACAAGAGTGGAACTCTGTCTCAAAAAGTAAAAAGTTAAAAAAAAAAAAAAAATGGAATACAGACAGTTGTTTTCCTCGAGTTGATACTGGATAATTAAAACCAAGGGTGTGAGATTGCAAAAGGATTTTAAGAATATTTTAAAAGAATAGAGCCAGGAACACAATCTTGATGAACATCTGTTTTTACTGAGTGTGAGGAAGATGAGCCAGATAAAGAGCTTTTAGAAAGGACAAAAACCAGGAGAAACAGTCATGGAAGCCAAATGAAAATACCCGTCTGTGAAGGGATGTTAATAAAAGCTAATGTGTAGGAAGATCTAACTTACTTATTTTTTTTTATTATTTATTTATTTATTTATTTTTTTTTTGAGACAAGAGTCTTACTCTTTCACCCAGGCTGGAGTACAGTGGCACAATCTCGGTTCAGTGCAACCTCCACCTCCCGGGTTCAAGGGATTCTCTTGCCTCAGTCTCCCTAGTAGCTGGGACTACAGGTGTGTGCCACTACACCCAGCTGAATTTTTGTATTTTTAGTAGAGACGAGGTTTCACCATGTTAGCCAGGATGGTCTCAATCTCCTGACTTCATGATCCACCCACCTCAGCCTCCCAAAGTGCTGGGATTACAGGTATGAGCCACCACGCCTGGCCTGACTTTCTTTTTATTGAAAAGGTCTGCTTGGGTCATTTTTTTCTTTTTTTGTTTTTGTTTTTTTGAGACAGTCTCGCTCTGTTGCCCAGGCTTAAGTGCAGTGGCAGGATTTTGGCTCACTGTAACCTCCGTTTCCTGGGTTCAAGTGATTCTCGTGCCTTAGCCACCTGAGTAGCTGGGGTTACAGGCGTATACCACCACGCCCAGCTAATTTCTGTATTTTTTGTAGAGACAGGGATTCATCTTGTTGGCCAGGCTGGTCTCGAACTCCTGAGCTCAAGTGATCTACCTGCCTTGGCCTCCCAAAGTGTGCTGGAATTACAGGCATGAGTCACTGTGCCCGGCCTGTTTGGGTTTTGGTGTTTATTTTTTTCTGTGTATTTATTTCAACACATATTTAGTGAACACTTGTCAGATTCACTTCAAGTCCATGTTCTTAAACTATGTAAACATGGTGACTCACGCCATGTAAAAGAGTATTGTAAAAGGCATCAGATAATCTAGTTGAACCAGATTTTAAGTTACATGTAGTGGTAAATAGAACTAGAAAGTCATGTTGGGTCCGTTCTATGAAAGGACTTGCATGCTAGCCTGAGGAATTTATTCATAGTAAGCATGGAGAGCCATTGTTTTATTTTAGAAGCGGTTAGATTCAAACTGTATTTTGAAAAGCTGACAATTCTGAGAAAATTATCAGAAATGGAAGGTCAGTCAGCGTACTACCAAGCCTAGCTAATTTAAACAACTTTTTTTAAACAGGGTGTCACTATACTGCCCAGGCTGGTCTTGAACTTCTGGCCTCAAGCGATTCTCTCACCTCAGCCTCCTGAAGTGCTGGGATTACAGGCATAAGCCACTGCTCCTGGCCAAAAATACATATTTTTAACATAATGTTATTTATGGCAGATTTGACAAAGTATTTGGGTACTAGATTTTTCTTTGTCATTTTTTTTTAATTATAAACATAATAAAAGCTCTGTAGAAAGTTTTAGAAAAGTGGAGAAGTTTAAAGAAGAAAGCACAAGGCAGTAGGGCAGCTTTTAAACTTTTGAATTGAATGTGTAATTCAAATTTGAGTATGATATGACTCAGATTCTAACTGAAGATATGAATGAAGTTAGGATTCTTTATTTTCATTAACAGAATTTAGTGCATGTTTTATTGTTGATATCACATAAAGCACCCTATCTTATTTTACACATCAAATTTGCATATGTTCATGGTACAAGTGATTTCCTGAATGCTAACGTTTATATTAATTTGACTTGTCAATTTCTCGCTGAAGCATCATATTCTCGAAAAGATAAAGACCAAAGGAAGCAGCAGGCAATGTGGCGAGTGCCCTCTGATTTAAAGATGCTAAAAAGACTCAAAACTCAAATGGCTGAAGTTCGATGTATGAAAACTGATGTAAAGAATACACTTTCAGAAATAAAAAGCAGCAGTGCTACTACTTCTGGAGATGTGCAGACAAGCCTTTTTTCTGCTGACCAGGCAGCTCTGGCTGCATGTGGAACTGAAAACTCTGGCAGATTACAGGATTTGGGAATGGAACTCCTGACAAAGTCATCAGTTGCCAATTGTTACATACGAAACTGTAAGTAATACCTTCCTAGTGTCATTTCTCCACATGTTATTTGGGAAACTAGATGACTCGTTTTTTAAAAAGAATAATGTTTAAATATCTCTCTTCCAGTGAATTAAGACTACTTACATGTGAGTTTTTTCCCCATCCAAAATTGATTCTGTATGTTTTTATTATATAATAGAACTAACATTTCTTGATTGCTTATTCTGTATTTGGCAATAAACAAGACAAAATTCTTAACATTATAGATCTTGTATTCTGGTAATGGCAATCAGACATTAAAATGTGTAAACAAGTAAAGATAATTTCATTGGGTAAAAAGTACTGTGAAGGAAACAGCAGAGGAGTAGGATGGGAGGAGCAGATGAGACATGTTCTATTGGGGTAGTCAGAGAAAGTCTCTGTGAGGAGGTAGCACTTGACCTGAAACCTGAAGGTTAGACGATCGCAGCTATTTAGAGATTTATGGCAAGCAGTGTTCTGGGTAAACAGAACAGAAAATGCAAAGTCACTGACACAGGATTTATTTTGCATATTTAAAGGATTGACGGAAAACCAGTGTGCAATGCAAGCAAAGCAGAGAGAGGAGACTAGCAGGAGATGAAATCAGAGAGAGGTAGGCAGAATTTAGGTCAGGGAGAGTCTTGTGAAACGTCAATAAGGAGTTCAAATTTTTTTATTATTTAAGGAGGAATTCTCTAGAGAATGAAGAGAGCGGGAGTGTTTATAATGTGATTTACACTTTATAAAGATAACTTTGCTTGTTGTGTGGACGATGGTCTGAAAACTGTTAAGGACAGAAGTTGTGAGACCAATAACAGCCTATTACAGTATCTTGTGTGAAATATGATGGCATTTTCTGGAGTTATAATAGTGGATAGAGGGACTTGCTCCTAGGCTAGCAGCCTTTCTTGACTGAGGTTTTCATCTTTCAGTTCTCTTAAGGATGTGCTGTTCTAGATACATAGGAGAAAAGTTAATCCATTCATAGATCAGCAGGGCTGAGTTCTTTCTCAGAACCATAGTTGAAAAAGCCTAAATGGAGTTTTAGGAAAAGAGAGAAACTAAGAATTATGATTAAGTTTTGGCCTAAGCAACTTAGTAGCCAGTGGTATCATTTATTGAGGAGCAAATCAGATAAGAAGCAGATTGTGGGGCTTGGGAGAAGGTGAGGGCAGAAAGGCAGGTATTCTTTTCTAAAGAATAAATTCTTTTTAAAATTTGAGATGCCTGCTGGATACTCTAGTAAAATGTTACAGGCACATGAATGGTACACAAGTTTGAAACTCAGACAGAAACTCAGAGAAGCAAACACTGCTTGCCCTAGATCTCTAAATAGCTGCAACCTTTTAACCTTCAGGTTTCAGGTCAAGTGCTGCCTCCTCACAGAGACTTTCTCTGACTACCCCAATAGAACATGTCTCATCTGCTCCTCCCATCCTACTCCTCTGCTCTTTCCTTCACAGCACTTTTTAACCACTGAAATTATCTTTACTTATTTGTTTACACATTTTAATGTCTGATTGCCATTACCAGAATACAAGATCTATGATGTTAAGAATTTTGTCTTGTTTATTGCCAAATACAGAGTAAGCAATCACTTATTTCACTGAACATAATGACCTCCAGAGAAAGGTCAATGCTGGATATAAACAGTTGGGAATCAATAGTATTTTGTATTATTTAAATCCAGGGGACTGAATAGGGTTAAGTTCGGAGGGAGTTTCAATGGATAAGCAAAATTTTGACTCTCTGGCACTTAAAGGTCTGATAAATAGGAGAGGCCAGCAAAGGAAATTGAAAGAGCAGATATTAAGGTAGGAAAAAAAGCTGGAAGAGATAGTATCTCAAAAATCTAAAATAATGCATCTCAAGAAGTAGAGTGGTTACTTTTGATAAATATCATTGAGAAGTATCAAGGTTCTAGAGGCCAAGTGTACTGTACAGGTCCACTTATATTCGGATTGTTTTCAACCAGAGAAAGATTGAAAATACAGTATTCGGGTGATGCCAAGCCTGCATATAGGAGGGCCAACTTTACTATAGGCGGATCCTGCAGGGTTTACAGTGGGACTTCAGTCAAGAATTTTGGTACATGCAGGGGTCCTGGAACCAACCCCCACTTATACAAAGAGAAAACTGTATCTTCCCTGTTGCCACATTTTTTTCCTGTTAATCACAGAGGTTTAAAATTATATCTTAGACATCCGTATTAATAATATTCATGGTGTTGGGGGTCTTATTTTTATTTTGAAGGCTTTTTAACTCCCAAGTTAATAAAAAGAACCCTTAATTTCTTTTGGAACTTTTTGTTTTCTGACTTTTTTACATTTAGGTCATTAATTCATATATATAAAGTTAATTTTATATGATGATATTTGAGGTAAATGGAATGATTTCCCCCCAAATGAATGAAACGTGTTTTTTGAAATATGATGCAATATGAAATCCTTCCTTTATTATAGACCAGATTCCCAAACATCGTTCTGTTTTTGAATTCATAGAGGTTGAAACAAATGAAAGCCAGTACTCAACTTTTGGACATACAAAAACAGCAATTTGGTGTTGTTCAACCCAGTATTTGTTGTGTCCTCTTCCAGACTAACACTTTTTCTTAACTAATGTAGTTTTATAGTTTGTAATACTATGATAGGTTATGTTTATTCTGTTTTTGTTTTTCAAAATGTTATTGGTGGTTGTTGCGAATTTAATCTTCCTCCAAAGCATTTTGACTGGAATTGCTTTACATTTAAAGACTAAGTGTTAACTGTGTGCCAGACATTATTCCAACTATTCTAAATCACATGCATTGACTCACTTAATCTTAACAAGAAGTCTAAGTGGTAAGTTAATTTCATGCCCAGTTTACAGATGAGGAAACCAAGGCAGCAGGCATTGAATAATGTTGCTAGAGTTTCACACTGGTAATTGACAGAGCCAAAAACTTGAACCTCAGAGCATATGCCCTTTACTCTAACACCAAACTGCCTCTTTTCTTACTATGAGATTTTCTTTTCTTTTTCAACTGAAGCTGTATAGAATTATATCAAATGATTTTTTGACATTTGTCAAAATGATTTACTATTTTGTTTCATTACTTTATTAACATAAAATAAATTATATTTCCAATGTTGACCGTTCTTGAAATACTGAAATGAATCCTATTTAGTTTGGATCGATAATTTAAAGAAACAAAACAAAACACTGCTGTATTCAGTTTGCTAATATTTTACGTAGGATCCTTGACTACATAGTCATAAGTGAAATCGACTTATTTCATTATATTATCCTTAACCCACTTTACTTCTTATTCTGTGTTTGTTTTACAGATTAAATTCAGATGCTTTTTTCCTTTTCTATGCTATAAAATTATTTCAACTATATGTTATTTGCTCCTTTGCTGTATTAAACTTTATGTCTGATAAAAAGCATTCATAAAACTAGTATAATAACTCTTTCAGAGTTAGAATTTTAACAACCTTTTAAATTTCTGTTGTGTTTGTTGGTTTCCTCATATTTTGTAATTTTTTTAATATTTAATTTTGTGGGTATATTGTAGGTATATATATATTTATAGGATATATGAGATATTTTGATACAGGCATACATTGCATAATAATTGCATCAGGGCAAATGGAGTATCTAGCATCTCAAGCATTTATCCTTTGTGTTAAAACAATCCAAATGTATTCTTTTGGTTTTTTTGTTTTTGTTTTTGTTTTTTAAGACGGAGTTGCGCTCTTGTTACCCAGGCTGGAGTGCAATGGCACGATCTCGGCTCACTGCAACCTCCACCTCCTGGGTTCAAACAATTCTCCTGCCTCAGCCTCCCGAGTAGCTGGGACTACAGGCTTGCACCACCATGCCCAGCTAATTTTCATATTTTTAGTAGAGATGGGGTTTCACCATGTTGACCAGGATGGTCTCAATCTCTTGACCTCATGATCCACCTGCCTCAGACTCCCAAAGTGCTGGGATTACAGGCGTGAGCCACTGTGCCCTGCCTTCTTTTAGTTATTTTTAAACATACAATAAATTGTTGTAGACTGTAGTCATCCTGTTGTTCTAACAAATACTAGATCTTATTCATTCTATCTAACTGTATTTTTGTACCCATTAACCATCCCATCAGCCACCCACTACACTTCCTAGCCTCTGGTAACCATTGCTTTATTATCTTGAGTTTAGTTGTTCTAATTTTTAGCTCCCCAAATAAGTGAGAATGTGTGAAGTTTGTCTTTCTGTGCCTGACTTAATTCACTGAACATAATGACTTCCAGTTCCATCCATGTTGCAAATGACAGGTTCTCATTCATTTTTTATGGCTGAGTAATATTCCATGTGTATATGTACCACTTCTTTTTTTTTTTTTAAATATATGGAGTTGCCCAGCCTGGAGTGCTCTTGTTGCCCAGGCTGAAGTGCAGTGGCGCTATCTCAGCGCACTGCAACTTCCACCTCCTGGGTTCAAGTGATTCTCCTGCCTCAGCCTCCCAAGTAACTGGGACTGCAGGCATGCGCCACTATGCCCAGCTAATTTTTTTTGTATTTTTTAGTAGAGATGGGCTTTTATCTTGTTGGTCAGGCTGGTCTCAAACTCCTGACCTCAAATGACCCACCCACCTCGGCCTTCTAAAGTGCTAGGATTACAGGAGTGACCCACAGTTTCTTTATCCATTTGTCTGTGGATGGACACTTAGGTTGCTTCCAAACCATGGTTATTGTGAATAATGCTGTAGTAAACATGGGAGTACAGATATCTCTTTGATAAACTAATTTGCTTTCTTTTGGATATATAACCAGCAGTGGGATTACTGGATCATATGATAGATTTATTTTTAACTTTTCAAGGCACTTCCAAACTGTTTTCTGTAGTGGTTTTACTAACTAAACATTCCCACCAGTGGTGTATGAGAGTTGCCTTTTCTCTACATCCTTACCAGCTTTTGTTGTTGCCTGTGTTTTGCCCATTTTAACTGGGATGAGATGGTATCTTATTGTAGTTTTGATTTGCATGTCTCTGATAATCAGTGATGTTGAGCACTTTTTCGTATGCCTGTTTGCTATTTGTATGTCTTCTTTTGAGAAATATCTATTCAGAACTTTTACCCATTTTTAATCATATTATTAAATGTTTTCCTATAGAGTTGTTTGAGCTCCTTATAATTCTTGCCATTAATATCTTGTCAGATGTGGTTTTCTCGTACTTCTGCTGCTATTTAAGTCAGTTACTATACTTAGTTTTTCAAGAAAATCTAATTATATTTGGGCCTTTAAATTTATTGATATATGGTCATTTATTCTATTTTCTTAAATTTTTAAAACTTCCAGTGCATATGGGGTGTTAACTTCTTTTTCACTTATTTTATTGCTTACTGTGCTTTTTTTCCTTTGATTTGACCTGTTCAAGGGATTTGTTAATTTTGTTCATCTGCTCAAAGGCCAAGTTCTTAGATTTATTTCATCCATTGTCTTTTACCACATCATTATATTTCTGCTTTTGTCTTTGTTAATGTGTTTTTTTCCCCTTAACCGATAATTCATTTAGCCTTTTAGTGGAGAAATTGATCATCATTTTTCCTAAGTCTAGAACATATACGTAAGTCTAAGAACATTTTCATCAACCTTCTCGCTGGAACTCCAAACCCATTAAAAGTCACTCCCCATTTTCCCCTTCTCCCAGCTTCTGGTAACCACTAATCTACTTTTTCTCTGTGGATTTTTCTTCTTCTGGACTTTTCATATAAATAGACTCATACCTTATGAGGTCTTCTATGTCTGGCTTATTTCACTTAACACAGCTCTTTTAAGGTTCATCCATGTTGTGGAATATATTTATTCCTTTTTATGGCTGTGTGATATTTTATTGTATGGCTGCACCACGTATTGTTTATTCACTCATTCGTTGATGAACATTTGGATTGTTTCTACTTTTTGGCCATTAGTAGTGCTGCTATGAACATTCATGTATAAGTTTTTGTGTGGACATACGGTTTTGTTTATCTCGAGTATATACTTTGAAGTGGAATTCCTGGATTATATGGGAACTGTGCTTAACTTTTTGAGGAACTACCAGTGCCAGACTATTTTTCAAAGTGGCTGCATCATTTTATATTCCCAGCAGCAGTATATGAAGGCTCCAGATTTTCTATACCCTTGACAACACTTGTTATTGTCTTTCTTTTTTTCTTTGCCCATCAAATTGTCTGGGCATCCTTGTAAAAAATCAGTGGACCATAAATGTAAGGATTTGTTTCTAGACTCTCAATTTGTTTTGATGATATATATGTGTATATGGCAGTACCACGTAGTCTTGATTACTGTAGTTGTAGTAACTTTTGAAACCAGAAGTGAGTGTTCCATTTAAGATTGTTTTGGCTATTGTGGATCTCTTACATTTTCAAATGGATTTTAGGATTAGCTTCTCAATTTCTGCAAAAAGCAGCTAAGATTTTTTTATAGAAATTCCATGGCATATGTACGTCACTACTTAATAATTTTTATTCCTTCTTTTATCTCCTTGAAAAAATTTTAAAAAAAAAAAAAAAAAAAAAGACAACTGTTTTTGTAGAAATTGTGTTGAGCCTGTGAATCAATTTTGGGAATATTGCTTTGTTAACAATATTAAGTGTTCCCTCAGTGATGAACACAGGATGTCTTTCCTGTTGTCTCTATTTTCTTTGAACAATGTGTGGTAGTTTTCAGTGAGCAAGTCTCGCATTTCTTTTGTCAAATAAATTCCTAAGTATTTTAATTGTATTTGATGCTATTAAAAATAAAATTTTCTGGGCCGGGTGTGGTGGCTCAAGCCTGTAATCCCAGCACTTTGGGTGGCTGAGGCGGGTGGATCACGAGGTCAAGTGATCGAGACCATCCTGGTCAACACGGTGAAACCCCGTCTCTACTAAAAATACAAAAAAATTAGCTGGGCATGGTGACGCGTGCCTGTAATCCCAGCTACTCAGGAGGCTGAGGCAGGAGAATTGCCTGAACCCAGGAGGCGGAGGTTGCAGTGAGCCGAGATTGCGCCATTGTACTCCAGCCTGGGTAACAAGAGCGAAACTCCGTCCCCAAAAATAAAATAAAATAAAATAAAATTTTCTTAACTTCATTCTCAAATTGTCTGCTAGTGTAGAGAAATACAATGAATTATTTTGTCTTATATCCTGCATCCTTGCTGAACCTGTTTATTATCTATTAATGAATTTAAATTTTATTTTTATTTTTTTTAAATTTATTTATTTATTTTGAGACGGAGTCTCACTCTGTTGTCCAGGCTGGAGTGCAGTGGTGCAGTTTCAGCTCACTGCAATCTCTACCTCCTGGGTTCAAGCAGTTCTCCTGCAGCAGCATCCCAAGTAGCTGGGACTGCAGGCACCCGCTACCATGCCTGGCTGATTTTTGTATTTTTAGTAGAGACGGGGTATCACTGTGCTGACCAGGCTGGTCTTGAACTCCTGACCTTGTGATCCACCACTCACTTGACTTCCCAAAATGCTGGGATTACAGGCATGAGCCAGCCACACTGTGCCTGGCCTAAAAATTTATTTTTTAAAAGAGGTTTATTTAACTCACAGTTCTGCAGGCTGAGTTCAAGGGCAGGGCCCTGCCTTCTGGTAGTAGCATTCTTGCTTATTTTTATTGTTTTCCTAGCTCTTGAATCTGTGCATATTAGGTCACATAAGTTCGTTTTTTCCCTAATTAATTCATTTTAAGGTTATATATTTTCTTTTTACTACTGGTTTGGCCGGACATTTTGATTTGAAGCACCATAATCGTAATTTGTTTCTAATTTAGCTTTAATTTTCTTTTTAATCCAATAATATTTTACAATTTCCAAATGTTCGGTGGGTTATATTTTTGTTAATAGTTTAATTGCATTGAAATTGGTATGACTTTTCTTATGGAGCTCACAGATAATCTTTTATGTTAAGATTCTGCAGGCTGGGCATGGTAGCTCATGCTGTAATCCCAGCACTTTGGGAGGCTGAGGCAGGCAGATCACCTGAGGTCAGGAATTGGAGACCAGACTGGCCAACATGGCAAAACACCCCGTCTCTACTAAAAATACAAAAACTAGCCAGGCATGGTGACGGGAGCCTGTAATCCCAGCTACTCTGGAGGCTGAGGCAGGAGAATCGCTTGAACCTGGAGACAGAGGTTGCAGTGATTCGAGATCATGCCATTGCACTCCACCTTGGTCAACGAGAGCGAAACTCTGTCTCAAAAAAATAAGACTGTGCTTCACAAGCAACAAGATGGGAATGTTTTATGACAAAAGTCATAAACCAGTTGGGGCTACAGAATGTTGTTTATTTTTAGGCAATAGACAGAAACACTTCCAAGCAAAGTAAGATTTAACACTTTTTCTGATGGACTAAATAGTGAGTGTTGTACTATTGCATCCTGTTCAGACGTGTTCTTAAATGTCTTTGCAGCCACAAATAAGAAGAGTAATTCGCCCAAGCCAGCTCGGTCCAGTGTAGCAGGTAGTCTTTCACTTCGAAGAGCAGTGGACCCTGGGGAAAGTAGTCGTTCAAAGGGAGACTGTCAGCCACTGTCTGAAGGTAAATTTGAGGGATTCAGAATGTACTTTCAGTGGGATAGATATCTGTTACCTGAAATTTATGTCATCTTGAAGCTTTAGACCATGAAGAGTACCAAAAATGCTAAAGTTGGATTTGAAAGTTTCTTTTTTTGAAACAAGGTCTCACTTTGTCACCCAGGCTGGAGTGCATTGGTGTGATCTCAGCTCACCACAGCCTCAACCTTCCAGGTTCAAGCGATCCTCCTGCCTCAGTCCCACCAAGTAACTGGGACTACAGGTGTGCACCACTATGCCTGGCTAATTTTTGTAGTTTTTGTAGAGACAGGTTGCCCAAGCTGATCGGAAACTCCTGAGCCCAAGTAATCCACCTGCTTCAACTTCCCAAAGTGCTAGGATTACAGGAATGAGCCACCACACCTGGCCGGAAAGTTTCTTGATCTCACAACAGAACAGACCCTTAACAAAATACAGCCATTAGACTGTA